GCGGTCAACTACGTGGGAGTCCAGCGACATAGCCATTACGCTAACTGCTGGTTCCCAGTTTTGTTCCGTTTTTGAGAAGTGCTTAACGAGAGTCTTCCGCGGGCCAGGCAGTGCGGTGGGACTGATACGGTGAGCAGTAGGCAGCACTGCCACAGGCCCTGCCCTCGTGGAGCTTGTGACCTAATGGGAGCAGAAGCACAAACAGATGTGGAGTTGGTGCAGCACAGGAATTAGGAGGGGACAGCGACCTCCCTCTTCTGGTCAGAGACACTTACTCAAGGAGCAGGCCAAGAACTGGCCTGTGTGGCCAGAGCCTTTCATAGCTGGAGCCTGTGAAGGCTGGAGGGTGGGCTGCGCACTGCGGGGCGTTGTGGAATAACAGCTCACATTCACCTTTACCCTGGGCCCATGCGTGTTCATAATGACTCTGTGCAGGGGCATGATCGCCCCTTCCATGGTCGTGAAACCGAGGTTCAGGCCCCGGGCACGTCACCCTCAGCCGCCTCCCACACGGAAGGAGGTTCACGGTTTGGGCGAAAGGATCCCCTGTGCTCTCACCTCCGGGCCAGAGGCGCCAGCCCAGTCTCTGTCCCCATCAGGCTGCTGCACCTACAAGCCTGTGTCTTGGTGGGAGAAGCCCACTGGGCTGGGAGGGACCAGGGCTGTGCGTAGTTCATCTGGACCTTGTTCCACTTGGAGGAGGAGCGGGCACATTCCTGGTAACTGACTCACCATCTTTTAGGCTCATTCAGTTGTTAGGCAGAACTGGGGTTTTGTTTTTGTTTGTTTCTTCTGTGGAAGGATTAAAGAGGTGTTTTAAAACAGGATTACTTTGTTTCTGTCCCTGAATGAGTAGTACCATTTTTCGTTTAACCCTCCATAAATACAACTCGTCAACTGAGTAAACTCAGGCACAAGTTACCTCTCTGAGTTTTAAGTGGGTTTTAAAATACTTACCCTCAGGCTTTGAGGAAATAGTAAGATAAAACCTGAAGTAAGCTGGGGAGCGCTGGGTGCCCGGTCCGCAGTGGGTAAGCACCGTGGTTACCTGGAGACATTTTGATTCCAGAACAGCTCGCGTTCGCCAGCCTTTGTCGGTCATTCTGGCTCTTTTCCAGGAAATGTTACACATCTCTGGACAAAACATGACCACCCCTCCGTTATCTGATCTGGCCTGGTAGCTGCCTGTCCCGTGGGAGGCTGTGGCTCAGAGACCCTTCTGGGCTCAAGGAAGGAAGGGTCTGAGGACTTGAACTGCTCGCTTCTGTTCTCCAGGAACCACACCCAGCTGGGACCTGGTGACTGGAGCCACTTAAGGTCAAAGAGAAACTCCAGTTTGTCCTTTTGAAACCAGCACCCCAATTCTTTCCAGCTTTACCAGTTAAGTTTCACTGTTTCCTCTTACCTCAGACTTAGAACCCCTCATCATCCCCTTGGGCTCTGCTTTGCCCTCCTCGAAAACCTTGTAGGAATAGCAAATCTAACGGCAGGTTTTCTCAGCCTACAATCACACATATACACTGTAATTTAAAAAAATCTTTTGTGGAGTACCTGCCATTCTGTTACTTAAGCTGGATTCGTATACCAGACTCAACTTGTTTAATAGGAGCGTTTTTAAAGAAACGTTTTCCTGTCAGTCAGCAGTAGAGGTCACTGTAAGAAAACCCCCGTCCATAGATAGGCGCTGAGGGCCGGTACGCCATTTCTCCAGCAGTCGAGCCTGTGTCCTCGCGCTTCCCTGACACGCTCAGTACGTGTTGCGCATTCCCCCTTTAAGGAGGAATCTTTAGAAGGACTCACAAAACTTCTGCTTCTGTTTTATTAGCCAGAATTTGGTCGTGTACCCAGCTAAAACTCTATTAATAAAGAACAGGTATTGGGGCCGGCAGATGGCGTCGTAGTTAAGGGTGCTGGACTCCCACGTGGCTGACCGTGGTTCAAGTCATGAACCTGGGGCTTGCTTTCTCACTTCCTCAAATTAAAAATAAGTAGAGTTAAATCATTCTTAAAAAAGAGAACAGATATTATAGTGAGTAGCTATATCTGCCATCTCTAATAAACCATCTCATTCTTCTCAAGCCTATTTTAAAAATTTTTTTATGAAAAATTTTAAACATTTGTAAAAAAAAAAAAACAAAAACAGAGAGAGAGAGACAGAGAATAAGAGAGTGAGACTCAGTAAGGAGGACCCATCACACTTCCGCAGTTGCCCTCTCCTGGCCAGTCGTTTCCTCCGTACCTCTCCCTGCTCCCCCAAGATAATTCAGAAGGGAACCTAGACATCATACCCTCCTGTCCATAAATCCCTCATACATATCTGCAGAACAGGGCAGACATTTTACAAAGGGACAGGTGAGAAATGTCGTAGGCGTTTACCAAACCACTTTTACCTTGAGGGCCTAATAAAAACTAAGTCCTGAACTGGATTCCACCTGCAGGGTCGAGTTTGCTGGTTTTAAACAACTTTTTTTTTTAATTCAGGATCCAAATAAAGTCCATGCGCTATAATTTGTAAGGACATGTCTAAAGTTCCACCTTCTCTTTGTTCTCTTCTCCTTGCTGTTTGTTTTGTAAGAGAGTCATTGCCAAGGCCAGCAAGTGGTGTGGTGGTTAAGGTACTGGACTCCCACATGGCCACTAAAGTTCGCGTCCCAGACTTGGGGGCTTGCTTTCTCTCTCTACTCTCTTTCTCTCTTGTGAGTACATGTGCCCCATAGCAAATTTTAAAAATAGTAATTAAATAAATAATTACTAAAGGAAAAGGCAGAACG